ATTAAACCCATCAAAGTGGAAATGAGAGCAATGGTCAAGCACAGGGAAATGAACGCTTTTCTGCTTCATGTATAAACATGAACTAACAAATCTGCTCAATCTCTTACCATACTGCTAGGTAAGTTTTATTATTTCAGAGAGGGAAATTGGAGAGAGAAGTTCCTCAAAAGCATTGTATCAATAGGTATCAAAACTTAGATCATTGTTCTGGCTCTTGGTCCTGCACTTACACCACCAGTTGTCTTCTTTCCTTTCGCCAATAAAAGAACAGAGGTTCTTGGCACGCTACCAGAGTCAGTGGATTGAGACTGAGCAGATGCTCACAGTACTATAATTTTCAAACATTCATAGTTCTAGAAAAGTAGGATACATGCAGGTAGAAGCACTACTTGATATTTTTTAATCGCCAGCTCTGTACAAATTAAGAGAGTCTGTAATTAGCACTTGAAACACTCTTTAAACTTCCAGAGTTATTCAGTAACCCACAGGAATCCCATGCATTACTCAGAACAGAGGGAAGAAGGTTCATCTGTAAAACTGCTTATCTTGCTGATCCCCACTGTGCACCCCAGGCTATATAGGAGACATATTTATAGCACACGTAATGCTATTAGCCAAGGAACAGGTGAAAATACACTATGTTGCCTGCTACACTGCAAGGATCATATTCAGTAATTTACAGAACTTCAAAGAGCCTCAGTGCAAGGTATATTTCCCCCTTCACAGAAAAAAAGCACACACTTCAGCATTTCAGCCAGGCATCCCATCCTGTAAACATTTACGACAAGCGAAGTGTGTGCTTCAGTGAGGAGTCTCATGGAAATCACTGAATTAATTTTCATAGTGGCAATTTGCCAAGTACTGTTTCAAGAGTCAGGCCCTGTTTGTATTTTGCTACATACAATGAAAAGAACCCTATCTACCATAAGTTCAACAAAGTATGCTAACATATTCCTTCCTGTATGCGCAGAAAACGTTTTTAGTAACTACTATGCAAACGTCACCTGATTTTTACATTCTCTTCAACCTTCTTGAAAGTTTTCCTGCTTTTACTATATGTGAAAATAATAAATACATACGATATACCAGTTATTAAGCCATCAAAAAATCACGTGTCATTCCAGAAGGAACAGGAGAGACTTGGGATTTAGAAGTCAAGAGCTGGTCATTAATGCAAGTGTCCTGCCTGGTAAAAAGCGTCAGCTGCTCCACATTTCCTGTGGAACTGCAACTTTGGTGGGATGTTCCTGAATATCGTGATAAAACAGGCTGCTTCACATCTGAAACGACAACAGTATCTCAAGATTATTATTCCAGGTAAGGTTGTTCAGGAACATAAGAGTGAGCTGAAATGGATGACATAGAGTAAATCCAACATGGGACAGATAACAAGGAGTAAATCCATGGTCCAGGACATTGTCCTGCGTCCGTACAAACAGAACCAACTCTGGGTTTTCAGTAATGTAGGCAAAATTGCATTCTGCTGCTCTAATTCAAGGCACAAAGAAGGTTATTTTGTCCTTACAGCTGGCATCAGGAAAGCTCAGTTTGTACATCCTGGGGGAAATGAGAATAGGCCAAAACCATCAAAGATGTTTTGCAAAAGGGTGTCTCCACATTTCTGGTCAACCAGATCTCTCTCAGTGGAGGGCGACGGGACCCGGTCTAGAGGGGCTTCATCCTACAGTGACGGTGGAAGGCTGGGCTTTGTCTGGGCCCAACATAGCTGCCTCTGTCCAGTCCATCCAACACATGCTGTGACACCTAGTTCCTCAGGCCATCCTTCTCCTCTACCTCCCTGCACTACCCTGGCCACACAGGGCCCTTCCCACAGCCTACCCCTTTCCCACAGCCACTTCCTTCTCCCACCCTCAGCAAAGGACCCCATTTCCCCACAAATGAGAGAAGCAACTCCATGGGAAGTGGAGGTTGTGGTGCCTGAGAAAGCTTCGTACATGAAGGAAAATGCAGCGCCCACATCACATACAGTGGATTTCAGAGGTGCTCTGGTGGTCTCTGCCCTCACGCACATAAAAATACTGTCCAACACCTGCCAGTTTTGCATGTTTGCCACCAAAGATTTCAAGCCATAATAAACCACCTCAGTGAAAGTGCTTGCTTTTGCATGGTGTGGAATGGACATAGATTTTTCATGAAACCAAAGGAGCTGAACACTTCTGGGTACCAAGTTCCATTTTTTCTATGTAACTGCCTTTAAAAATCTCTTACTTCTCACAAAAACAGAAAGAAAATTCACCTAGGGAATTACAGCCAGGAAATATTGAACAGTTAAAGCCAAATGCTATGACTGTAAAGGTCTACTTCTGCGAGGTGGCAGCTTCTTCAGTCCCTCAGTTTGCCTGGGACTCTGTTCGTGATGGTGTGCTGAAGGTGAGCTTAAGCCATTGCTCCTTGAGGCTGCTGCCAACTGAAGTCATTGCTCTTTTTGTTTTTCATTTTTAACCCTTTTGTTTAGTTACATGGCACAATACTGAGACTAACAAGTATTACCGAGACTGACAAACAGTAATGTTACAGGACGTAAGACAAAAGCAATGAACTTACGTATTTATTGCTGAGGTGTGAAGAGTTGCCGAGTTTTGTTCTTCCCCTGAGATGAGTTCTCTCCTAAGAAACAGAAAATATATTTGCATCAGTTAAACATGCAAAGACAAAAGAACAAACGAGTCTAGCGGGAACACATCACCGACCACTGTACAAACTAGCCAGTCTCCTTGTCAGACTTACTTAACCAGCAAAAACTGTCCACACAATAGATTTTTACTACCCTCTCTGTGTTTTACAGCTTATTTCCCCTATGATTTTCTCTCAAATGGTGGGTTACTACCACAAAGTATTTCCAAGGCAGTTCTCAAGAGCTTAGAAAAGGCTTAAGACTTTAATTAATTTTTAACTATGATTAGAACATAAAATTACAAATAGAAAAAGACACAAATATAAAATTAATTTTTGCCGATATCGCCGACAGCAGTTCAGTTCCTCCAAAGCAGGAAAATGAACATTTAACAACTTCAGTCAGGGATTACAGACAGTTCTCACTCCTCCTTCCCTGGAGAAGTGGAGCTGCTGCCAGCAAGTATAGGCAGACAAATAAGCCTCCAGATGAGGATGTGTTTACAACTGTGCTATTTCCAAACGCACGTCCCAGGAACGGCAGCGGGATTTCTTTGTGTCAGAGATTCGTATATGGAGATGAATAGGGAATAGCATCCCCAGACTGGACAGAGCCCCATGGAAACAGGCATGAGGGTGGGAAAACCCAAATGCCTCCAGGAAACTGCCTTCTGCCTCTCTGCTCACCTGCGGGAGGCATTTTAATGCCTGACACATACATGAGAGGCAAGAAAGTGATGTACTACACTCTAGCAAAAGTGAATATGTATTAAAAAGCTTACATATGATCTATAGCCTGGGGTTGAAAATTGTAATACAAATAACAAATTCACTGATTAGGCATTTAAATAATTAGCAGTCAAATTAAATAGTTGCACTCCTGAAGAAAACAGAAAAGACTCATCAATGGTTTTCAGACAGATTTCCTTGGCAACAAAAAGGGCTCTTTCATTTAGTGCGGCCTTTCGGAGATGAGTAGAAAACTTGGTATCTAATGGGGTTCAATAGGAAACACTGAAAATTGTTCAACAGTAACGTGCTGGGATGGTGTTTGCTTCTCAAGTGTTCAATTTTGGATAAAATTATTTTAAAAACATTATAAAGTGTTGCTAAGTTAGAGCTTCAGAAGTTCTGATGATGTTAAATTTCAGCTAAAAAGGCCTTCAGCAACGACTTCAATAATTCATAATATAATTTTTTAGAGAAAGGAAAGCACAAGTTTCTGGTAGAAAAAAATGAAACATTTCAACAAGATTTACACATTTTTGGTAGGTGAAAAGTTTTTGTTAGATAAAAATCTTGTTTGGAAAAGCTAAAATAAAGTGAACCAGTTCAAATACTGTATAGTTTTGTACTAACAAAGGAATGAGATTTTCAAGAACTCTCATTTCTTTTTTAATTTATTTTTAGTTATTTCTTCCTTCTGCATGTTTTTACCTTTTTTGTTCAATATACACAAATAGAAGATTTAATAGGGCATGAAAGGGAGAAAATTGGCAAGATTCTTTAAAAAAGAAGGTGTAGGAGAAATTCATTGAGAAATATATTACTATGGAGAAGATAATATTCAAGAGTTGTAATAAATATCAATACTTTGTTATCAGCTCCACTCTCAGCTGGTTGCTCTGCCTATGCTAGAATTTAGGCAGACTTACGTGGAAGACTGATACTTTGCACCACAGGAAAATAACACGTCTAAGGAGAGGCTCCAGAGCCAGCGTAGCTCCCTGGATAACATCCCATTGATGTCAATAGGCTTTGGATGAGAGTACGAAATGGGTGAGGCAGCGCTGGCTGCAGGAGGCAGACTGCTCGAGTGGTACCTGCCGACAGTGGTGGTTGGGACAGGAGTGGTGAATTTGCCTTACTGCAGACCCTGAGACCGCAGCACACAGACACTCACGTGCCCTATCCAGATTTCCCGGTGCTACACACATAATTCCTGGAAATAGTGAACTGCCACAAACTATTGCTGGGGTCAACGTTCCCCTATAATATCAGTGATTGTCCGATGAGGGTTCAGTGCAGGCAGGGATGCTCTGCGTTGCTTTGCCACTGCGCTCCCAAGAGGGCAGGAGCCTGCAAGAATTCTGAAACAAAACCAAGTTATCGCTACGCCATGGTGGCAAATGTGTCTGAAGATATTTGCATTACAGGGTCTATAATCGTTAGTGCCAACTAGCAGTTCAGTGACGAAGAGAGAATGATTATATACTGGAGAAGAAATGGTCACGCAGGTGCTCTCTAATAAGAGAAACAAGGGTAACACATGGTTTTGGGTACAGGGCTGCAGTACACCTTAAGGCTGCACAGAGAAGAGTCTAGAACAATTTTGGAGTCTAACGGCTCAGCAGTTTGATGTTGTGCTAAATATCCAGCTGCAACACAAAGAGCAAATTAAGAAGAACATTCAGGTTAGCTGCAAATGGGAAGACAGTTTTATTGATCTCAAAATAGCCTTAACTGACAGAAATAAATTCCAAGACTGCAAAAAAACCAAACTTGCCCCCAAACCATCATCCACTAAAAACAAGACCTTGCTTCCCATAAGGGAAATGAAAAACAAATACTTGTGTTTAGTATTTTGTTAGAACAGATGATATTTTAATTGACTGAAGGAATTATTTCACACCGAACTGTTTGCCTATAGAGAAAATACGCAGTGCAGTGGCAGTGCTCAACCCATCTAGATGGATTACCTGCATGGTTTGAAGGCTGTCGTCGAGAGAGACAACGGGTATGGTTAACACCAACAAGAGCAAAATTGCTGGACAACAATATCAGTGAAAAACAGACTTTTGTTGATTCTGGGTTATCCATTTAGGGGAGGGTGACACAAACTCCAGTGTTGCACACTAGGAGATGGAAGGTTTCAAGAGAGACTTGAAGCACCAGCTTCTCACAATATAGTTACACAGCATCTTGCATAAAGGTAACCTAGTATCAGTTGATGCCATTTGATAGGTACTATGGCAATAATTTTCTGATAATGGGTTGAAAGTTCATTGCATGTTTTTCTACTTTGGTAAGTAAGTGAGTGAACTGCAGAAAGTGGAGATGAATGGAACTGGAAGAAAGTATTTGGTGCAGTTAACAAAGCACTGTCAACTGCGCAGCTGCTTAGCGTGACCCCCTTTACCTACGGTCCTGCCTTGTGACACCTCTCCTGATGGAGAAGGAGTTGTGGGCTCATACAGATTGGCAGGGGGCAGCAAGAAGCCAACCTCATATATATCACGCACTTCTCCAAAAACTGAAAGAAACGATGCACAGTTTGAGAAAGAGGCCTTAGGAAGAATATTTGGAAAATGAAATCAGATTGATACTGACATGGAGGTTTTAGCTGACAAGCAAACCCTTCTATTAAATGTTTTATTCTCCCTCTTATCCTCCAATGTTGCACCTGTTTGTTGATTTTTGTCTGAAATTGGATTGTAAACGCGAAGACATAGGCAACATGAAGTCTCTAAACATTATTGTCATATAATACAGACAGGTCTGTAGTTAAACTGTCTAACTTATTGCCGCAGGAGGCTGAGGACACCACAGGGGATAAGACAAATTCATGGAAGTAAAAGCCACTGAGAACTATGAAGCACCAAAGTTACCACCTCTGGTTCAGGACATGGCCAAGCCACAGACTGCTGGAAGGCTACGGCAGAGGACACATTACTGGACTCCTTCCCTATTTGTTATCCTTCCCTTCACATCTCATGCTAGCCACCCTCAGTGACAGGATTTGAGGCTACATAGATCCAGGATCTGAGCAGGTACAGCTGGCTCAGATCACAGCTTCACAGCTTCAATATTAAAAGAGAAGGTGCTTTAGCAACTACCGCAATACAGCACTGGTCTTTCATATGCACGGCCTCCCATGTGGCACCCCTCAAACACGTCTGCTGGAGCCCCGATCGCTGATTCACCCAAGTAAACTGGCAGTCTAGGCAATGGCCTGATCCAATACACACTGCACACGTCCTCCTCTAAAGTGCAGTCATGCTTCAAAAGGATGAGGATAAGGAAGATGTAATAGGAAAAATTTTGTATTCATAACTCCTGATCCTTCAACGTATTTGTTTTAAGTGCATGGGAAGCAGACTGAGTACACAGATACTGAGGACTCTGCAAAGTTAAATGTTTAACCAGGAAAGTAACTGTACTTCAATGAAAACACAAGGTTTTCCTCCTAATTAAAATTTCACTTGTGCAGTATTTGATTTGATTTTTCACTCTCACAAAAATACTCATTTGTGACTATTAATGTTGCATCCTGATGCCAGTATATGTGAATAAGTAACGAGCACATAATCAGATAAAATTACAGATTGTATAAATAAATTTTGAAACTTTGAAACAAACGTTTCTTTGTTCCACCTTTGTGGAAGGCTATTGTATTAATCTCACTGCAATTTCCTCCCTGCCCTCCATTTGATTCAGAATATATTATTCAGAATACACATACACTGCAGAACATGATGATATGAAAGCGAGTTAACAGGTCATATCACTATGAGTACAGAAAGTCTTTGATCTGGGCAAAGCCCTCTTTGACATTATTGGGAAAGCTGGAAGAAAAAGGATATAAAAAAATAGGCTTTGACATAAAAAGTAGGTTGTACCGCATCTTGGATTACATTACCTGTAAGAAAAAATGAGTTGCACTGTTATTTCACTGTAATATCTACTGCTGAGAAATTGCTCATAAGTGGCAATCTGGTTTGGAGCAAAGAATTAAAGCAAGTTTTTCATAAAATATGATTGCAGAAACCTATTTTTTATAAAAGTATAAAACTACCTCTGCAGACACAGGAATCTAAATGTCTATTTTTACCATGTTGAACTAAAAGAAAGAGGGGTGCATTACAGGTGCTGGAGAACAGCATTGAGTGGGACCCAGTGCCTGGATGCACCGGCTGGGTTTGGTGTGGGCCAGTGGGTCCAGCACCTGCGACATGCCGTGCTGCAGTGCTCCCGTGCCACGCACTTCACCCACGCCCCTGCAAACTGCTCCTTGCCACCACCTCAGGACAGAAGGTTCTGTACAACTCACCACGGTGAAGGATAGGAAGGCAATTGCTGCTGAATGGCCAGCAAAGGGTGGGGAGGTGGCTCCCCCAACAGAGGAACATCTCAGAAAGCTGCAGGCTGGACAGTTCGCAAACGCTCCACAGATTAAAATATCACCTGATCCTCAGCGGTCTCTGATTGTAAGACACTGCTTTAAAAAGTCTTGCAAACATGCACAGCTCACAAACTGAATAAGAAATGTAGAAGGAAGCATATGCTATTTAATGTTTTTGACTACAGTTTTGCCCAAAAGTATCAGCTGGAAGTGTGTGCAGTCAGATCTTTGTGGTGCGAGTAAACACAAACAGAATCCAGCCATGAGCTGCAAAAAGCTGAGAAAGTTTATTCTTCAGTTTCTATGAAGAAAGAAAACACAACTTCAGGCCATTATACAATACAAGGTTAAAAAAAATAGAGTATCAGAAAATGAGAAAGAGAAGGAAAGGGATGCAGGTACTTGATCTATCTCTTTGTTGTGAGGAGACCCTTTTCTATGAAGCAGCTTCTAGGTTTTCTACCTGCAGGGAAAAAAATAAGACACTGAAAGTACAGCTCATAATAGGAAGAAGATATAATCAATATCATATCCTCACATTAGTAGGAAAACCCGCTCTTAACCGCTTCTAGGCACACAGCATGCCAGCAGACTGCTCTCCGCTGACCTGCATTGCTTATCTTGCAAGTGAGGGGAGGAGGGAAGGGAATATTCAGTGACAGAGTGCCTCACCTAGAGACTTGGCTTCTTCACGTACTCCTAGGGGCATCCACCTGGATCCTAGACAAAATGAGAGAGAGATGAAACTACCAACGCATGTTGAGAAAACCCATGGCCTGCTATGGAACCATGCCCCCTGGCAGGGGTAAGTTTCCTTGGATTGGGCCCCTAATGAGGTAAAAACCAAAGATTTCTTACCTCCTTAAATGCCACGGTCCATGCTCAGATGTGCTCAGCATAATAGAAACCAAGGAGGAATAATCCTCTACCCCAGCTCCAGATTTGTTCCATTTTACCACAGCCACAGGCAGAATAATTAAACAGTCTCAGCATTTGGAGCTTCATGGAGAGCAGTGATGAAGATATGGTCATTCAACCACATTATCTCAGAAGACCACAGGATTTTCCAGGTCCAAACCCTAGCACCACAGTGGACTGTCTCGTTAGGTGCTGAACTTCATGTGTATTCCAATGACTGAGGCAAGTTTTTGTGCTGAATGAGAACAAGGGTTTTTTCTTTGTTCTGTGATGATTTTGGTGCTCGGTCACTATGTATAGTACAGTCATTATCCTCTGACATCGAAGGCTGGGAATCCTCAAAGCCTTTACAGAGAAGGTGTTGGAAATTCAGGAAGTCCAGAGGAACGCTCCAGGCCCAAACTAGGGTCATCTCAAAAGTGACTGAAGTTATGGGCTCCAATTAATCTATGCCATGAAATCCCACATATCTTCAAGGTAGGTAGTTCATCTTGTGCAAGGGACGCACCCAATAAATGGTATGAAAATCTACAGGCAGGAGGTACATCTAGTTGAAGAAGCAGATAACAGCTCAAAGGTTGTTATTACTGCTAATCAACAGCAGCTTTTGGAAGAGATGTAGAGCATACGGGGAATGCTGGTTGCTCTGCATCCTCGGTTCATACTGTTTTGTACTGCACTGCCATCTGAGAGCTCCTCTAGAGATTGACTGATCCCTTTCTCCAATGCAATTACAATAAGTTAAGGGTGTTTCACATGTGACAGGTCAGGTGCCTCCTCAAATATCCATGTTTGCCTGGTACATTTTCCCAGCTTTGTTTATTAGCAACACCTGAATTTTCATTTCTGTCCACAGTGGGTGTCTCAGGAAGCCCTAATGCAGACATGTACCATGGACCCTTCTCCAGCCACCTTCCATTCCAGGTGCCTCACCAAAATCTGAGCCACAGCAGCTTTGACACATTTAATACCCTTCCAGCAAATTCAATGCAGAACAGACAATACCTCTAGAAGCTGAGTAAGTGGTATCCTACCCTACCAGGTCAAAAGAGCACACACTGGTTAGAAAACATGCCCTAATGGATCAGCTTATGCTACGGTGCCAGGATTACACCAAACAACTCCGAAATATTATGTCACCTGCCACATTCCTGTGAGACCTTATATTGAATATTGAACTGGTGTGCTGCTACTATAAAGGTTCTTCATACATTTTACCTGCTCTAGAAAGGGTACTCCAGGCAAGAGCCATAAAAGAAAACTGTCAAGTCATTACTCAGGTATCAATATTGCTGTCATGCATAATTCATCTGTTTGGAGAGCCTTACCCCAATTTCTATTCCTCAACCTTTCTGTTACTAAGGAATTTCCATTCCTCAACATTTTTCATGAGTTTTAAAAGGCAATCGATACCTTTGCTGGTTTTCAGTGAAATATGCAAGAACTCTTACAGCAAAATTTAGGTATGTTTTCAAGATAAGCAATACTTTATCATTAACATCATGGATGATGGTATTGGTCTCTTAGTCATCAAGTAAAACCCTCCATCTTACATTCTTGGGAAACACATCTACCACGGACAAGCCAAACATGCAGTTCTGTGGGCTATATTGAATCCCAAATAAGAAATATTTTTGCAGGTAGATTTTCTAGAGCTCTGTATTGTAGAAGACCATTTATTATCCTTAGGAAGAATGACCCTAGATTTGCCTGTAAAGTCAACACGGAATGGCTGTAGCAAATCCTGTATTTGCACATTAGTGTAAAACTTTTGAGACTATTCACTATCGTGAGCATTTTTATCCAAGCTGAGTTTTCACATAAGAAGCATGTACAGGCACTTATCTTGCATCAGGTGTTGCAGTTCACTGGCAAATGTGCACGAAAAACTCAAAGTGTTTAGTTTTGTCTGCTTGGTTTTTTACTTTACATCAATTCTCAACCAGTAGTGCCTTAGAGCTCATAAGCCATCAGCAACGCCATCTTTCTAAGAAGAGTTTTAAAAATGACAATATTAAAGCTCAGTTTTACCCAGTGTTCCTGATGATCTTGCTCAATTAAAAAACATTACTTTAGTCCAGGCTTAATTGAAGACTGTTCTTTTCCTGTATTCTTTCACATTAATTGTAGGCATTTGAAATAATATTCTTGATTAAATCTAATTCAGCTATGCTTCTGAAAAAGGAGTCTTTCTTTTTTCTTTTAATTTATAGTCAGAACCTAATTTTAGAAGTCCTAAAATAGGATCCTTCAGTAGTCAATGGACCTCCATAGGTCAGCTGATTCCAGTTCAAGATACATGTCCAAGACAGATGGGATAAATAGCCCTCTGGACACATACATCTCTTTCAACTATGTGCAGCTGGCTTAGTTTTTAGACAGATAAAATAGGGCAAGACTAAACTCACCATAACATTTGATCCAGATATATCATGCACAACACTGACACAGGGTTTTTCTAGGTTGCCTGCTTGAGCAGTTTGTAGGTCGTATCCTTATTTGGTTTGTATATATGGTTTTTACACATTTTTGAAACGATTATACAATCTCAAAATCTTCTGCTTGGAATAATAAAAGTAAAAATTAAAAAACCCCATGAAGTATATTTATAATTAAGCTTAAATTGAATATATGTCAAAACAGAACTTTGTGATACATATGCTTGACCTTAGGTGGGTGAGCAGCCTATTGATAGTGAGAGGATGATGTAGGTCTACCTGTAAAGTTAAGGCTGCTCTTAACTTTCTAGTTTTAGTCAAAACCTTTTGTAGTTTTGTTGGTATGTACAATCAGAGGCAGCTATAACACACACTTTCTAAACAGCTGAACAATGAATTCACCTTTTAATTGAGCTGGATTTTATGTGGCTAAAAAGGAAAAAGAAGAACACATGTAAAGAAGTTTTATACAGTGCAGTTGTTTTTGGTAGTTGTAAGAGGGACCATGAGTCAGACATTTCTCAAGTTTCTGTCTGTACTGTAAGAAACACTTGCCTTTATGCCTGAGCTTTTAGTGAAGCAAGTAAATCTTATGCAAATGGGCAGGCATCCTAACATATTCAAAAATACCTGTATGAGTGACAAATATTTCTGTAAGAAAACAGGCCCTTCTTTCAGAGTGCTTTTAATTTAAGAAGTGTCTCTAAAAACCTGAGGAAAAACAGGACTTCCATTTCTGTAAAAGCATGTTTAATTTTGAAACATAAAGATGTCAGAATTCAAGAGAAAATGGTAACTAGTTTAAATATGAATTGTATTAATGAGAAGAGGGCAAGAATCTTGTCCTCTAAGTGGTTATGACTCATACCTTCCAATTATAGCATGCATACATCATACTTCAGTAAAAGAGAGTATCAAGCATCCTCTGGATGGAAGAAATTCAGATACTTGGTGAACCAGTAGCTGATTAACAGACACCAGACCTCATCTTGTGAAAAAAAACAGTGAGCCTGAGTCTTTTCTCATTTACCGTGCTGTAAAACACAAATAATTCTGCTGCTGCCAATGAAGTTACTTTATTGTTGAAACCAGTATGAGGGCAGAATCAATCAAAAATTGTCTATAAATTCCAGTTTCTGACTTCATTCAACTTTAAAAAAAAAGACTATGGTTTTAAATGTAAACATACACACAACTCCATATCCCTTAAAATAAAGCTAAAAGTCCAATCCCAAAGGCATATACTAAAAAAAAAAAATAAAATTTCCGAGATCACAAAGCTCTGAAGTGCAGTCACTTAAGTGCCAAAGAGTAGTTTGCATTTGCTCAGCAGCAGTGGGGCAGAATATGCAACCTGCAATGGAGCATGTTTCTCCTCCCCCTCTAGCCTGCTAGTGTGCTGCTCTGTGCCTGCGAGGCTGCAGGGACCTTGCACGACTCCCATTTGTTGCAAGGGCTGCCAGAGCTGCCCTGTAGGTCTTTTGGATTGCGCAAAATCTTCTGGGAATTGCAGAGAAGGCTGGAAAGTGCAAGTAGAGGATAGTTCAGATCAAGTGCTGTGTTTCAGAGGACTTCTCGAGAATTTAGAGGAAAGGGGAGAGCAGCCATAGGGCAACCTCTGAAATGCCAGTATGGGAAACAGATGGCCAGATATCTTAAAAAAAAAAAAAAAAAAGTTTTTATACCTAAAAAAGCATAAAGTAAGAGGCTGTTTTTCCTGGAGGACTTCTGCAGATGAGGCAGAAGCAAAGGTGGGACCTAGATGGCTGAGGAAGTGAACTGCAATGGGTGAAGGGGGGAAGTTTTACCATGAGCAGCTCTATCATGAGAGGTTTCTTTTTTTTGTTTGTTTTTTGTTGAATAGCTGGGAATCAAATTAGTCAGAATTCTGTTCTGCCTCAGTCTTATTTTGTGCTACTCTGTTTCTTGCAGAACCTATAACTGCATCCATCTCTTAGGTTATATTGATGAGATTTTGCTTTCTTTTGTGCATGTTATCTATAACTTCTGTTCCTTTAGGTTTTATTACACACATATTTTGCAAGAAACTGGATCAGTGAAGCACAGGACAGAGGAATTTGCAAAGAGAGTAGGATTTTGAATACAAAGGGTAGCTGCGTACAGGGCTGACTGAACACTGCCAACACCAACTCCAGCAGAGCCCTGTTTATATACAGCACTGACTCCCGAACCTTTTGGCCCCGGGATATTACCAGTCCTCAAACTTCCTTGTATAGCCAGATCTAGCTGATAAATAACCGTGATCATGGTTACTCCTGAACATGCCTAGCTGTAGATCACTTACCATCAATGATATTAAAAAATTATTTTCCCTAAAACAGTCTTACTTCGCACTTCCAAATACTGCTACCACACACAGTGCAGCTGCACTGCAGCTCTACAGGCTCCCAATCTGGGGATTTGCACTGTAGAGTTCTTTGCAGTGACTCTGACTTGACAGGAACTGAAGATGGTTTTACTATTGGAAATAACATCCCCAAACTGCTCCTCTCTGGACTGAGACAGACATACACACAGAGGAAACACTCACCAGTCTCAGTAGAAGTTGTCTTCACAGAAAGAAGTTTGACTCCTTCTTTATCTGATTGGGCCCTGTTGAAGTCAGAAAATATTTAAGCAGACAGTCAGCATGCAGCTCAGCATGCATGTCAGTCAGCCAAACAAAATGCTAAGATTATGATCTGGAGGAGGCAGCACCTATGCCAGTCTACACTGGCGGGCTTGAAACGGGCTTTGCATGGGATCATGCATAAGTCTTGGTGGTGGAAAACAACATGTACCAATATATTTGAAAACACCTTTCTGTTAAAATATGTAATAAATCAAGTTGCATGACTCCAGGTTCAATCTAGTGCTCCACAAAAGAAGTACATCTAGGGGAAAAGAGGGAGTCATCTTTTTTCTCTGTGGCTTTTAGTCACACTGAATTGCAAGAAGGACCACTTCAGATATCCAGGGAGTCAGGGCTAGCAAGTAAATCAGCAGCCCAAATGTTGCTTTTGGTCATGCAAAACATAGAGGCCATAGCCAGACTCAATAGCCTATAATATATATCTTCTAATGGATCTTTCTCGGTTTCACTCTCCTGAAACTCCTTATGTCAATATTGTTCTAACAGAGCCTCTGCAAATGGACTAGCGGAGAGATGATGGGACAGAGGAAAACCAAATAATGGGGAACATAAGAAAAAGAAAGACAAAAATAATCCAGAATAAAAAACATTAAAAAGAGAGAAAACATGAATGAAAGAAGGGAGATGGGAAAAGATGGGGGGGGGGCGGAAACAATCAATGGGGCAAAAATTGAAAAAAAGAGAGAAAGACCAGGCCAACTGGCCCTGTGGCACAGCATAAGCCACTCATCCATTTCAAAAGGATCCCCTGCAAAACAGTTGAGAGCCATCACATTTCTATCCATGCTGGAACAGCTGCTTATCATGCACACAGGTGTACAATAACTGCAACCACATCACCGTCAACAGGATATTTCTCTTTGGGGTGGGAACTGCTTATTATGTTTAAACAGAGAAAGATCAAAGAAAATCTCATGCAGAATCTGCTGCATTCACGAGTGCCCCATAATAGATCTCAAAGCAATGAAAAGACAGGATTCAACCTACTGTTCAGTGCCGTTCTCTTGTCTCTCTGGAAGAAGGAACAAAGTTAATATCATTTTGACTGCTGGAGCTCAGTTAAGTAAACATTTAGACATAGCTATTGCAGTTGCTAGCAGAAGGTTTAGTTGTAATTTTGCAGTATTGCATTAAGTACATTAACACAATCAACCAGCTTGAATGGTAATTGGTACTTCTCTAGTTCATCTTCCCCAAAAATAACCATGTCATCTATGAAAGTGAACTGATGTTGCTCAAATCGATACTTCTGGAAACTAGGGAGAATGGTATGTGACTTGCACAAGAGCACAACAGAAGCGCATTTTTCCCTGCAGCTCCCAAATCCCCGGTTAGCTGGCACAGAGGAGGCGAGCGTGCAACAGTTCTCGAGTACATAACAAGTGAGCTAAAAGATATAGGGTGAGGGGAGTGAGAGAACAAGCTGCCAGACTGTACGCTCTGGGCGGGGTTTAACCTGGCACGACATCTGAGAACAGAGTCTGTCATCCCCGCTGATGAGGAATGGGTTTCTCCCCAAAATGAATCATATACCAAACATATTTTATTCTTATGTGCAAGTACTGGCAGATGGATAGGGTTGAGGGGTTACACTGGAGACACGGAGCCAGTTCTAGCCCCATGGCACTGGGCACAGGGCTCTCCATCCACACTGGGGGAAGCACACTGGATAGACCTGGACAAATCCTGCAGGAAGCACTGCAGATACCGATCTACTTTAGCTTCCAAGTGAATTTGCTAGTACTGTGCCTGCTGGCATTTGTGCATGGGGGAGGCTGGCAAGGAAATGTTCTTCACCTCCAAATATTCAGTAATTTTCTAAGCACGGATCACACCTTCCTCTGTTTATCTGGGTCTGGTTTTCCGTGTCATTGGCTAAATTGGTTGCGACACACTGTTTGCCTTGATCTACAGCCTCAACACCCTGTTGTGATTTTATATTTCCAAGGCCTGGTGATTTCACAGTTGAAGCTCTGCACAGGTCTCCTAACTCATGCCAGCTCACAGGGAGAGAAAAACCACAGTCTGGGTTCAGATCTGGGGTTTCATTTAATGGAGAATTACGCTTGCCTGTGGCCCACTTGGGCAACTCTTTGAAACATTTGGCAAATGGAATTTAATGGAATTACACCCCCCATTATCTTAGTATTTCACGGACAGCAGCGAAACAAATACTGGCTTTAGCTGATCTGTCAAAATGACTGTTTCTGAAAATACTGTTTGCTCAGGGATTTTGTGCCCATGTGTGTTATACTGTAACTGGAAAATTTTACTTCTATATGTATGCATGTGTGTGTGTGTGTGTGTGTATGTATCAAATATTTCCTAAAAGAAAGCATTGATATTTCTTTGCCTGTATCTAGAATAGAGATAAAACAAATATAGTGATTTGGTTAAACAATATCTCCAAACTTAGTTTTCACTGTGTTTTTCTACCTGATTGACTGACTGTGTTAGCAGAGCTGTTTGTTAGGTCTTTGTAGCTGCAAAACCATGAATAGAAAGCTTTATGGCATTATATATTCTCCAAAAATCAGAGACATTTTTGCTCTCTCTGTTCTTCCTACTGATTTTGAAAATGAAGTGTTACTTTCCCACTTTAGGCAAAATACTTTCAAATACAAGAAGCTTTCCTATCAGACTACTGCAACATCTATGGTTAAGGTAATCTAAAAAAACCCCAGAGACCTTTTAATAATAAAAACCACATTGATCTTTTTCCCCCCACAGAGAAAGCAAATCAAATACCTGGAGTTTTCTTCTGGCACATTCTGTACAAAGCCACCAGTGAGAAGGCAGAAAGGGTAATGACTATCAAGGTGATGACAATTGGCAAGATAATGTCTGCAAAAGAGGAAGAACATAGTGTCAGTTTGGGCGCCAGTGTTGATGGCCCCCAAAGGTTTTGCTAAACAGTCATATTTCAGGAATAAATTTTTTATATATGCAATTTTTTTTCCCCTCTTTTTTGAAAACAAGACTCATCTGAAATTCAGCAACTGAAGTGATTATTTCTCTTTTAACATTGTATGCCCAGAAAGACACCGAGGAGTTACATAATTAAGTAACATTCCTCACAGCACTTACAACCAGGGATAGAAAATGCAAGATCTCCTTTTTAAATGAGGACATTTCTTTCCTTTTATTATTTCCCACCATCTGCCATTTCCTGACAGGTGTTTCCCAGCCAAGAAGCAAAAAGGAAAGAATTATGTAATGAAGAGAAGCTTTCCTGGGGAAATATATAAGCGCAGTTTCTCCCCATTTATCTTTTTTCTGGCAGTGATTGGCCACATTTGAATTTAGCAGGCGCTCTCTTGCCTGCTGGCCTAAGCCCTGTGTCAGGGGAGGCGGCGGCTGCATTCCCGCAGCCTTCCTCAGCATCAGCCATCATGCCCACCTGATTTTAGAAATAGCATCTTTGATGGCTCTTGATGCAATTAATATTTAATATTCATACAGATGTGTGCGTGCATCTATGGAACTAGAGGGAGAACCCGGAGACAAGATTACAGTGGAAAAACATCAAACATATTTTGCTAAGCCAGTACTTTGGGTAGGAAATAGCAGATCTGCAGCAACACTCTTGCTCTAGAGATGCATAATATTAAAATAAAAGATTAAGTAACATGCATCATGCAAATATCTAGTGCTTGAAGGGTTTGCAGAAGACTCCCTCCTAGTCCTTCTCTCCCATGACAATATGAACAATATATTAATATAATACATTCATAACAATATATTCATATAATATGTACTCATAATGGTATATGAACAACATTTTCATATGTTTTCTTGTGTCTTATCCCACAGGGGATGACTGTTCACATTTTTTTTTCAGTTTTATCACTTTGACTTCAGTCCTTGGGAAGAAATGTGCTGCTCTCCACTGAGAGTGGTGTCAACTTGTTAAGCTCTGTTTCTCTTTGAGAGGAGTTTTATAACAGGCGGTGAAATTGGCTTTGTAATAGGGTCTATGTCTGGTAAGGCTAGAAATAAAACTGCCAGTTTAATTTCTCTGCTACTCCAATCACTCATCGAAAGCCAGACTGATCAACTGAAAACTCAAAAGCTGGTCAATAAAGCAGGAACACTCACTAGAATAGTGGACAACACTCTCCGGCACTTTCTTGTTTCCAGGACTGCTTTCACGGCTGCCAAAAGCTAGATTTGCAAAAGAAGTATTGCCTTTCAGGTTAACATGTAACTGCCAGTACTCCCCAAACAAATCCCCCTGAAAAATTACCCTCCCAAAACAACTTCTGTGTCCCCAGTTCTGGAGCCACTTGGTGCTCCACAGCTATAGTTCTTCTCAATAATACCTGGATAGCTTGGCAAGAGGGGTGGGAAAGTTCATCTAGTGTGGCCTAGAAGAAACACACACTTTGCATGGGTGCAGTCTTCCCTAGGATCATCTGCTTGTCCACTTACAGGTTATGAGCTACAAACTTTTTCACTTTTAGGAGGTTAAGGTACTGTTCAACATTAGAAGAGATCTCTTGACAAGCAAATAAACAAGCAAGAGAGTGAAAATTAGACCTGCCTCCAAAAGAAGAAAGACCAAAATTTTTCACTGCTAATTAAAAAAAGTGCTAATAATAGATGAAGATGTCTAAAGAGGTGCAATATTAGTAGCTAGCGATTTTCTTGAGAGTTGAGTGTTAAAAAGGGATGTGCGTGCTCTCTCTGCCACATTTGGGGACAGCAATGACTGTTGGGAGCCTCTGGGCATTTTTTAGGGCAGGGTTTAAAGGAATGCATTTCTCCTTTCAGGTGCTAATCTGAATTTGAGTCAGGTATCAACAACTCAAGATATTTATTACCTTGTTGCATACAGTCTGTGGAAAAACAATCACCGAACGTTGAAAGAGAAAAAAGAAAGAGCAGACATGGTGCTTCCCTAATTACATTATACAGCACACAGGATTGTATTCTGTATTGGACAGAGGCTTGAGTAGACACGTGCTTACTGCCACTGAAGAAGCCGACCAGCTGGACAAATGGATAGTTGGATGCTTAGCATCGAATTCACAATGCAAGGCCAAGCATTTCCATTGCTCATTTAAATATCAGAAATGGCTCTCAAACAAAGGCGCCTGGGAAAGGTGGTTTGTTAAGCAGGGGGCCTAGCAGAGAGTATAGCTCTGTTTATAAGCAGTGAGAACATGGTAGCAGCCACTGAGGCTCTGTTGCAGGCTCTGATCTATTGCTCGGGTACCCATTCATACCCCATACACCTGTAGGGATGTACAGAAGAGGGCTCAACTTGAAACTACAAAATTAGCTGGGTCATTAAAACCAATTAAAACCAATTTCCCAGGGCCATTTTGAGGGCTAGAATACAATTTTGTTCTGCTAAGTCTCTGAATGACAGGTCCATCTTTTCTACAGATGAATTGTTTACTTTTTTGTATAGGCAGTAGGCAGTACATGTAATTCTAGTTTGCTGACAATTCTAGTTTGCTAACAAACAAGGTTTTTTTGTCCCAACCCTGTAGGGGTTCCTTGCTGCACTGATTTTGAAAACTCAGGCCCACTATTGATAAATGTTTTGGTGATTGTTTTTTCTCCACTATTCTCCTTATGCCCATATTCCCATTCTCACAACATACTGGTCTGTTCAGATATGTAAGAGTGTGTTGTGTCCTGACGCAAGAGGAGTAAAGCAGGCAACAGCCAGCGGCCAGTTTCTCCTCAGGTTTGCTGGATAGGCCAGTATACTGGATTTCCCAGGTAACTGGGAGCCATGTGGTCCTACTTAAAAATTTATGTGGATTGACTGGTAGCGCAAAGAGAATATTTGAGAGCGCTGTGTTTTTGTTTTTGTTCTGCTGTTGTGTAGCTGTATGAATTTTGGGCAGATTGTTTAGCTTCTCTGTTTCCTTTCCTTTTTTTTTTTTTTCTTTTGCTTCCCCAGCCCCTCTTATTTGTCTGGCCAGAGGTTTTTTCTCCACTATTCTCCTTATGCCCATATTCCCATTCTCACAACATACTGGTCTGTTCAGATATGTAAGAGTGTGTTGTGTCCTGACGCAAGAGGAGTAAAGCAGGCAACAGCCAGCGGCCAGTTTCTCCTCAGGTTTGCTGGATAGGCCAGTATACTGGATTTCCCAGGTAACTGGGAGCCATGTGGTCCTACTTAAAAATTTATGTGGATTGACTGGTAGCGCAAAGAGAATATTTGAGAGCGCTGTGTTTTTGTTTTTGTTCTGCTGTTGTGTAGCTGTATGAATTTTGGGCAGATTGTTTAGCTTCTCTGTTTCCTTTCCTTTTTTTTTTTTTTCCTCTCGCTTCCCCAGCCCCTCTCATTTGTCTGGCCAGAGACCGAAACCTCCTGGGGAAAAATGATCACTGACTATGTGCTTGTGTGGTGCCTAACCAATACAGCCACAGCTGAGACATTCTGATGCTATAGTATAAGAAACAATCATTGTCTGAGACCCTTAACTCTGAAAAATCACTATGTTTCTTTAAAGCAGAAGTTCTCTCTCCGTGGTGCCTGTCTGCTGAAGGGTGATAATGTAAGGATGGAAGGATGGAAGCTGTGAGCCATCATCAAGTGACTGAAATAATTCTTATGAATTCGTAATTCCATATGATTGCTTTAGATTTCCCGGGGAAATACTACTGCCCTTTTCACTACCTTACCTGATATACTGCATGATATACATGGCAAGTGGGCAATTATCACAGCAATGAGTTATCCTGGATACTGACTAAAAATGCCAACAGAAACAAATTACACTGAAAAACATGAATGCGTATCCCTGCATTTGTGCAGCATCTCCTCAGGAGAAAAACTGAGGATTCAAATTCACTGGTTATTTTCCTAGTTCTGTGTTAAATGACCAAGGGGTGAGTAATGCAGGAAAGACAAATCCATAGGTTAGCATTTTAACTGCTTGAGACCATCAATGAGAAATACAGTGGCTGAAAAGAAGCACCACTGAATGAATAAAATGGATTAAGGAATTAAAACCTTTAACTCAGTTATATACTTTATTCACTGAAGTTTCCCAGAAGCAAGCCCATCACGTCTACTTTCTCTGGATCTGGAAAGTGAATCTGGAAGACATTTTCCAGCTATGGAATGATCTGGGATCAGAATAACAATTGGAGTAATACATCCATCACGGTAACAGGAGGGACAAACTTTTGCTGGCAGGAGCAGCAAGAACTGCAGGGACCAGTAGAGAAGAGACTGTTTCCTGGTAAGCCCAGAGAAAGGAAAATAGGACAATACAGGTTCACTAGCACAGGAAACTTTTGCCTTACTCTGGGACCTACTGCTTCTAACCACAGGACGGGGAATGAGAGCCACTGACAAGAACAAGCTACTTGGTAAACACTCTATTTATAATCAATTTCCCATTGCATCACGCTATATGCCAGGCCTGATTTTTTTTGTGCTCCCACCCTGTTTTCTTTTCAGTGTCTGCTAGTCCAACATGGCATTCAGCTGAAATCACAGCAAAGTTACTCATTGCTACAAGTTGAGCATCACTCCTCTGCTTCTCTATACTATGCTTCAGGTTCATTCTTCCCCCAGAGCCTCCTTGTTCCCTGAACGTTTCCTTTCCTCAGGCTGCCCCCTCCCACCCCACGCCAGCCCTTTTCGCCAGCATGCACAGAGCTCTTACTTGTCGATCCTGTTGGGGAGCTCATGCGAGGGCCTGCAATAAAACAGAAGGAACAGGTTTGTTAGTAACTTTTAAGGTTAGATGTCCAGGATCTTCACATCACACAAACTGGTAGACTCTAGCAACGCACTCAGTAACCCCACAAGAAATGCTGACCCAGAACTGACATGCTAACACTGTTCCCAAGCCCAGAAAGTCTCAGCTGTGAAAGTCTGCAGACATCCCTTATAGATGGGAGCAGAATCCAAAGCACAACCTATGCTGGGTTGTTATTCTGCTTAAGAGAAGAAAATCCTGAATTAATTGATACATTCCTAAAAAATTCCTCCTGCCAAAACCAAATAAGTGCCTGGGAGTGAATAGCTGGCATTTAACTGACAAATAAGTGTTTTATTAAAAGAACCTCAAATGCCTAATTGAGACATGTCTTCAAGTGTCACAAAACCCTTTAAAAATGAATCTTCATTAATTATCTTGGTGCTTTTGGCTAGCAGACTGCCGAGCAGCAGGAGTAAGAGGCATTGGTAATGAAGAAGAAATGGACCTTGCAGAGCGCTGTGAACAATGCTTACTGGCCCACTACTGTCAGCTTCCCCCAGGCACTTCACAAGTTTTTGGTGCAGAACACTAATTTTTCATTAGCTTTTTGTTAGTATGCTGCTGCTTTTGTGTGTCTAGACGGTAGCATGCTTGGAAATTAAGGTGGCTGTGAATACTTCACATTTGGAGGCTAGCCACAGACAACCATCACTCCCACAGTCATTTTTATTACATTGCATTAAATCTCTTCTGCGATCACTCCAAAGTCAAAGGGAGCCAGGCACCTAACTCGTCCGCATCTTTGAGAATATCCACCTGTGTGAACTGGCAGTAAAACATTTATCTGTTTGTACAAGACAGACTGTCTCTTGCCAAGGGTGAGTGACTGGCACTCTGCCCGTCTGGTGAGGCCTCTCACACTGGATTACTGGAGCTACCATGGAAAAAAAAAATCCTTCAGGCACTATATCCTCAGCAGTTGCTCATTATTTTGAGGTATAAATCACAGCATTTAGTCACCTTCCTCTAGGCTGGAGGGCACCATAAAACCCCCCTCGTTGGATCTCTTCAGGGTACACTGCTGCCACAGCATCTGTGGGAAACGCGGTGAATCTGACCCTGTCCCAGGAGCTCCCTGGGAAGATGTGACCCACCAGCATGGTCTCCGTGTCCCAGCTGTGCCAGGCTGGGAGACTGCAGAGGGAGCGGTGTGCAGGCAGCCGTAACTCCAGGCAGGCATTGAGACTTTCCCCTGAGTGCCTGAGGTTGCAGCACTCCTCCTCTGACGAGGGTCCCCAGGGAATACAAACCCACTCTTATGCCCTCGATGCACTTTCTGTGCTGTGGACTGATGCTTTGCACAGACAGCTCCTACCACTGGAGCTGTGACATGAGTGAAGCGCATTACTCTACTGCTGTAAATGTACTCTTTGAAAGCCAGAATGGCTGGTCTTGCTTTTCCTCCTCTCTACACCCAATTAAAAACTCGGATCACTTGAGCCACTGGGGTGCAAATAGCCACTTTTGCTAATGATATATGTGACAGAGATTTAACTCCATCTTAATCACAAACATGCATGAAAAGCACGTTCAGGTTGAAAAGCCAAGTACTTAAAAGTCAGCAGTAAGAGCTCTTATTCAACACACTAAATATTAGTAATGCTAAGTACTCTGAAGGTATACAGTTTTCTCACCCTGGCTTCCTAGGATCCAGAGGAGACTTTTTTTCCTAAGGTTTTTATCGTCTCATCAATCCATCTGCAAAAAGCAGTGTCACCTTGCTCAGAGAGGATCTCTGTGATGATTCATTAGGCAACATTTATAGCATGTTTGGGCAACGTTAACGACAAGAGCCAAGGAAAAGCTTTTGGGAAGTTAATAACTCGCCTGTCAAAGGAGGTTTGGAATGACACACAGTACAGAACGCAGCAAGACACATACCTGGCATTAAGAAAACATCTGAATATGATATGCTTGCTTGTTACCCGAATACTGCCTTTCCTTCAGCCTATAAGGAGTGGGATCCCATGGAAAAAATACCATGTAATCACACAGCAATGGTTGGACAAGCAAACGGTAAAGCCCTGTATGTGCATGTTCTTGGAAAAATGCAGAAGACTTTGTCAAGTCTTACAAATAGGTCCCTTCTCTATGAAGCTTCAAGCCTTGTCTCCCAAGCCTGAGGAGAGTTGAGCTTTCCTAAGAACCCTCCCCCAAATCATAACACAATTATACATTTGCCGTTAACTTCACCCTCACAAAAGAGGTGAACCATCTTGGCTCAAATTAGAGCAAATAAATAAATAGAAAAAGCATGTCAAGCCTGAGACTGATATCGAAGTTCACCCCAAACACTTAAGGTTTGTCAAAGCTGTATGCAGGTGACATTAGGCTCTGTGAACAGCAAGGGTTGGGTGACCTGTGGGTCAGTACCCAGAGGCACAACCAAAACCCACACTGCTGTCCCAGCCAGACCTCACCGCTTCAATAAACCCAGACATCAGGAATGATCCCAGGTAGGAAACATGACAGCAGACCCCTGCCCTTCCTCCAAGGACTGTAGGAGCCTCCTGAGCCTTTGTTATTTTTTTAAAAACTGCACACATCTACACACAATAAAACTACAAGCATCTTTCCCAAAGATATCTCACCCAGATCCTGCTAGAGCATGAAAAATTAAATAGGAAAAATCTTGTGCCCTTCTCTCTCTTCCCCCATCTCCAGTGTGCAAGCAAGGTGCCAGCTCACCCTCTGTTCAGAGATTGCTCAGCCCTGCCAACAAACAAAGCTGTGCTTATCGGAGTGGTACAGCAGGTACTTTCAGTTTGCATTTTCTAAATAACCATCTAACCTTTTTGGTGGTGAGGTCGCACGCTGCTGTTGTACAGAAAGAGAAGGACAGAAGGACAGAAGGACAGAAGGACAGAAGGAAAGGCAGCATTTCGCTTGCTAACATAGTTACCGTAGTTGTTCTAGCTGCCCATTCAAAGCTTACCACATCCTTTGGTGCTGCGAGATAGGAGGCAGATGCTCTGCATAAATAATCTGGGAAGATTTCCAGATTCATCATGAAAAGTGAGGTGTGCAACACTGGCTGTGCTGAGTCGTCATTGTGTAGTAAGGACGACAGTGATAAAAGATTTGGCACATGATGGTGGTTTGACTTGAAAATACCTGCCTGAGTCAGTTCAGCGCTGGTTAGAAGCTTGACAGATGGAGAAAGAGGCCAATAAGTAACCTCTCCCCACTCCGTTCATCAGCGACCACTACCTAGGCAGCCAGGATACCCTGCAGTTTGCTGCTTCTGTTTTTGGAGGGCAGCCACATGAAACTGTGTTCACTGGCAAAACAAACGAATAAATTTGGCTGATTACTCAGAGGGGATACCACACTATAAATCAAAGCAAAATTAAGAACTTTAAAAAACCCTCCTTGCCCTGACCATGCTATAGATCCGTAATTGTGTTAACTGAGGCTTTGCTATATTTTCCGTCTCCCAGGCACTTTGATTTTTGTGTCTCTCTCTTTGAGAACAAGCTGAAAATATGGTGGGTAATTTTTACCCACTATCACTATCCAGAGTTCCTACACAGTTTGCGTACAGAAAGAGTCAAACCCTCCTTGTCTTATGAGTAAGAATTTTTCTTAGGGAGATGCCTCCTATGAATCAAGTGAGTAGGATTTATAATTGGAGGAGTGCAATAAAGATATCAATAGATGCAGCAGGTTGATTCATCTGACAGTTTATTATAATAGATCATTTGATCTTACCACCCTGCTGGGTGAACTTAACCTGATACTGCGTTATAGATTTTTGGTTGTTTAGGTCACAGAATAAAAGGCTACAATACTTGCAGTTTCTTAGATGTATTTAGACTCTGACTGATCCATTAAATCTCCAATTTTTCATTAATTAAACAAAAGGAGAAAATTAAATATTAGCAAGCAATCCTCTGTGGAGGTGGAGAATGAGTAGGAGGTATATTATACATGACAGCCAAAGTTAAAGTTAAAGAAGTGTATGTGTCAATGGCACGCATGCAGGTTGCTCTCTTTGCTAAAAACAGTCCCTATTGCCTTCTCTAGCCTGGGTGAGCACTACGCAGCCCCTCCTCCATGGCTGGTGGTTTCAATCTTCTTTCATACAGCAATACTGTGCTCTCATGTTTCTCCAAGTTCTTTCCTAGGCTCCCCTACTCATTTCAGTTGCTCTCCAGCTCTCTCTGGCACTCCTCCCACACCATGATCTTTTGATATGGCTGATTGGAAATTTCTCTTCAAAACATGCTTTTTTCTTTTTCTGCAGCAAGAAAGGAAATTTTCACCAAAATGGCATTTTTTTAAAAATGGAGAATGGTCTCAAAACTAAATATATTCTTTTGCATTGGGGTTAGCCAGATGAATTATTTTGGTTGAGCATACCAAATAGAAACGTTCTGTTTTGGATCAATTTCACATTAATTTGTCTTCCCCTGAGCTCCCACGCAGAAGCTGTGGCTTGGGTGCCTTCGGCTTGCAAGCTCTGCTATCCTCTGTGGGCTGCAGCACCAGCCCCATTGCGCGTACCACCCTCTGCTCTGGTGAACAAAAGATATCCAGCCTCTGCAGAAGCCCCTGAATGTGAAATTTCAAAGAGCTGGGAAGAAATAATCTAATGGCAGTGAGAGAGACAGCATTTCTTCTATCACAGCACAGAATGAAACAACTGGCTTCACACTTGCATTGCTTTAAAAGTTATTAGGGTGCAGCATATGGCTTCCCTTGGCCCTGAGCGACTACACATAGGAGAAGAAATCTGTTTAGAGGGAGCCAAAACATTTTTTCTTAAAGTCTTTGACATATACAGAGAATACGGGAGCAAGGGTGGTCTAAAGGTGCACCCATCTGGGATAAGCTACCTACCTCATCGGGGTGAGTAATGGGATTTCTTGCACATTTAAGCTGCAAGAAAGAAGCGAGGAGCTGGTGCTGTGAGGAGACAGGAAAAGCGTAAGCGTGGAAATCCTGGTGCGGGAGGAAGTGATTTTGAAACGGCAGTTTTATGGGAACTCAGAGTATTGGCTATGCCAAGTACCTAGACTGACTCCCCCTGCATAGATGGGCCCTTTCCTTCTCAGCCAAGCAATTATAGTCCTGGCATCTTGGGTAGTCCCCGCAGTCACGAAGATTTATTGGTTTTACAGCAAAGTGAGCTGAGTAAGATGATGACTTTTGCAAACAGACCCAAGGAAGGTTGTAAAATTTTCTGGGCAAATTTTAAATGTAAAATGTAATTGTATAAACAATGTAATAGGTAATTCAATACATGTGATCCATAGCCAGATATGTATTACAATTTCATTTTAACCTGGAGAATTTACCTGTGTGAAAGAACCTTTAATTAAAAATATTGTAATTGACTGCTTTATTGCAGTGTACCAATGGTAAGCTTTCCATACCATGCACGTGTCTGCCAAAAGACACAAAACCTAACAGGATAATCAAGTAACTACAGCTCACAATATATGCATCATGGGGCATAGGCTTATTGAAATAACTGCAATGAATCCTTTCTGAATCAGCGGCCTTGGATTAAAAATGAAAAAATCTCAACTTCTTTAAAATGCTTATTACGATAATATCTTTTTGCATGCTTCTAAGCATTTCAGTCCATACTGAGCATATGATATGACTCCACTTTTATATCCAATCCTGTCCTCTATGAGGAAAAAAAAAAATCACAGTACAGGCACATGCTTATCTCCCACAAACACAATCCAGAGGTTGTAAAAACTCTTGTATCCCTTGGGGGATGTTAAATATTAATAATACTTTGGATATGCAAACAAAGTCAGTATCCTCATTGGATTTACACACATGTAGCTGAAAGTAAGTATTGAGTGAAGTGAAGGCTCAAGAGACCTTAAGAAAACCTGAATAAGTGGTTCTTCAAAATCTAGGAAATTTAAGCCAGCCAGAGGCATAATAAATGATCACTCATATGACCTGGCATCTACATTCACCACAGTGTTGCTTAGTGGATAAATACATCAAAACACACCCAGAAAAACAATAAAACTAGACTGGAGTTGGGAAGGATTAATATATTTTTGACCTTGCATGTGACCATGTTGTACTTTGAACAATATCATTTAATTGGTACTATGCATTAACTTGCCCTCCAGATTTATTAACAATTGTAAAAATTATAGCTGTTTTCTCCTTTGTCTCCTTTGCTTTGCAGCCAGAGAATTTATCTTGATGACCTCCTCTGGCAGTCAATGCTACACAAGGACCACACACAGCATATATAAAGATTGCTATTATCTTTTGTAATTTATATCCTCCTGTAATGACATTGAGTATCCTAACTGAATGTTTTGAAGTTCACACATCACTCATCATAACTTCATAGCTAGATGACATGGACACAGCGTACCCTGTTTGAATAAGGAGGTGGCCCTCATTCCAGGACGATGCACAACAAAGGAAGAAGAGATTCAAAATTATTTGCACCTTTTAAACTGTTTGTATTGGAAAATAGATTGTATGTTTTCAAGACTTACCTGAGATTCCAGGAGTAGAAGTGGTGTTTTGTAGAGAGATTGTAGAAGAGAAAGACCATCCCTTAGCAGATGAAGCATTCAAACTCTCAGTTTGTGCCAATTGCGTTCCACTTGCTCGTGTAGCTGGAAATATAACAGATGTTCAGGTAAGATACATCTGTATAAGCATTGTCTGAGATCCTGGACCATCCCTCAGACAAACGCTCCCACCATCATAGAAGAGACTTAAGTTCAGAAAGCACTACAGCGTCTGGTAACTTCTTGTCAAGCAATGAACTGTCGCTATGGAGTTGTTACTACCGGCATAGTTGAGGCATCTTTAAAGTACATCCTAGCATCAGAAACAGCCTCACATCTGTGCCAGAAGACAGCCTAGAGCTCTGACTTGGGAGCCCAGAATAACTAGACAGTCTTGCACCAAGAGCAACATGAGCAGAAGAAAGAAGCTCACTTACTGCCCTCCATCTTTAACTTTCATTTAAAAATAAATAAATAAATAATAATAAAAAGCAAGCTTCAGCCACAACTGTCACATAATGTGATATTGTAAAAAGTTTTAGGGATTGTAATTAAGCACAGAGTTAATTATTTCATTCTGTGCTGTTAAGGCCTAGGAAATAATACGTCCCTGAAAATTAAGGTATGAAAAATTAAAGTGTCTTATTTCTGCTCTCCCACAGTCAATAGAGGGTCAAGGCCACCTGTGTCACAAGATTTGCAGCCTAAGGTGAGTCCGAGACGATGGTGCAGAGCACCGCCTGAGCTCATGGAACTGAAGGTCACCGAATAACAAGAAAGAATTTAAGCTGTTCCAGCACAGCTGATAATTCCTACATCTACGCTCAAACCTCAGCATAACAACAGGCAAGGCAATGCCTACTGAATAAAACATAGGAGTGCCCAAGAGTAAACTTCCTTTCTGACATAAATCAGAGATGTGACTGAGCTGTAAACTGTTTTCAGTGCCTCTTCATGTGAATTTCAAACACTGGAACTAAAACAACTTGAAGACATGTTTTACTCAAACAAGTGCAACATCATGCACATGCAATGTGAATCTTGAGGAATGCTTCATCACAGGCTTTATTCAGAAACTCTGATTACCAGTTTGGCTTCTCAAAGAACCCTTTTCTCAGGAAAAAAAACCCCAACACTCAAAGGTCCCTATTCTACCACCACACACCTTTAACTTGGCCCTTCCCCTCTTGTTTATTAAATGCAATACCTTGGAGAGGTAAGCTTCCAAAATCAATCAGCTGAGAAAGAGTGAGCTGAAGCCACTGGAGTCAGGGAATTCATACAACTTTGGGAACAGAGAGGAACTGGAAAGCTGGGGATGGTATTTTTGAAGGTCGAGGCATGGAAGGAAACAGTTCTGAAAATTATGCAAAACAAGCTTAAATGCCTAAAACTTTAACTGGGATTCTAGTGATGAGAAGCATAATTTCACTGTCAGCTCCCTCCAAAAACCTCAGCGTTGTATCCCTTCAATATGCAAGCCTAATCTGCAGTAGAGATGAGTGTAAAAAGCCCCTCTACCACATTTTTCACTATAATGCAAGGATCTGAGAACTTTAATAATTCCTCCATTTTCATCATAGAAGCCTTGAACAAATCTTTAAAAGCACACTTTTTCCACTTTTGGTTCTTATTGTGGTTGCTTCAGACTCAAATTTTAAATGTTGAATTTTAATCCGAGATAAATTAAAAAAAAAAGCAAAAAAACCCAAAGAACCTCCTTCTCCCTTTAAGATGCATGGGCTTGTAACAGTAACAGCAACCATCTTGTGGCTCCCTTATCATAAGTTAGCAAAAGCTTGCATGGGAGAATGAAAAGTAAGGCAGAAAAAAAAGTAAGCCTTCATGTGCAGAGACATTCGAACACAAATAGGCTTTGTGAACACTGCAAAACAATCAGGTGTGTGGGAGAGATGAGGAGGGAGGCAGCCAGTTGCCTTGCAACCCCACGGAGAGCTGTTTTCCCGTAGGGATCACACGTTCCAGGCGTCCTATCAGTCCTGGCAGCAGTCCAGCCCCGGGTGCTCCTCTTGTGTTTGGGAGCTGCGAGAACAGATTGTTCTCAGGAACACGGGCTGCGCGCTGGAGGTGCCTCGGCGGGGGGATCAGGAGGGGAGGGATGATAGTGTTTCCCTTTAATTTTTTTTTATTCAGCCTGGGTGAGATTCTTCCTGCGACTTGGGTAGCACCAGGTACGACTCACTCCTTTACCTAGGGCTTGGTGCGAAGCTTGTTGCATTTATTTTGGCAGACTGCAGAACGGGCTCCCTGCTCCCAGTGTCAAGGGGTGAAGTAGACATGCTACGCTGCAATAGTCCGTGTGCCAGTTTTCACCACTTCCAAGACGAAAAACACAACCTGGCAGGGAAGGTTCCCTTAATTCCACTGTACTACTGTAAGATTAAATCCTAGCAACCCAATTCTCTGCTGACTCGTGGCTTTGAAGTGGCCTTACGCCTAATATACAGCATAGGCTCTACCATCAACACATTTAGCAGATCGAATAGCTTCTGTGCCAAAAGCGTATGGGAACAGAAGCATCCATATCCAGCCACTGCTCACGTACGCGACGGCAGCACTGACAGCACAGCACGCCTGCTAGAAATCTGCTTTTTTGGTAAATCCCATAACTCATATCTATGCAAGGTTAAATTTGATCTCAACAGGAGGAGACAGCGCAAGTCCTTACTGCGGTGCCCATGCTCCGCGCGGGAACAGGCGGGGGACTCTGCGCAGGCACACGGTGACTCAGTTCTGCCGTCCCCACTGACACATCGCTGCAGTAATTCATCACGCGTCGGCTCAGCCAGCTGCAGCAAAGATTTCTGCCTGCCTGGCAGGGGGAGGCCTGGGCTCGCAGAAAAGCAGCACAGCAGAGGAGGGCGGCTGCTGCTGCTGCAAAAGCATCATCGGTTAATGGGTTTGCTGTCGACAGTTGATTATGAATAAAAATGGTAAAGCAGTAAAGATTGTAAAATAGCTGTCCGAATGGGGCTGATTGCTGCAGCGGCAGAACTCCCTGGTGGTGATGCAGCTCTCCCTGCTGATATTTTGATAAGATAAATGACAGTGTGTTAACACGTATTTGTCAAAATCAACAACAGGGGACCTGAAGCTGCTCTGCAAAGCTGCTGTCTGAGCCTCAGGTATTTCCTTACTCTTTGTGCTCTGAAAACCCTTCATTTTCTTTAACCAGCTGAAATTTGACACATATCCTCACTTGATCTTAGCAAGATTTTCTATTTAACCTACGTATAATCCACATATATTTTGGCATTTCCCAACAGTACTTTAAGTTTCCTTTACAGCAGGCTGTTACCTAACTAGCTTTGACATCATGAGATGCTTCAAGTAAGCGGCAAATACTCCGCATATATTTTATGCACTGCAAAGAATATAGACATCTGTACATGTGTTAAAACCTTACTTGGCCAATCAATGAATCAAGGAAACACCTTTACAGGGCAGAAGGAACTGCACCCAAATCACGTTAAAACATCAGCATGAGGGCTTTGTAAGATGGAAGGCTAAACCTTCTCCCTTGAGCTCATATCTTTAGCATAAATACACATATAGGCCTCGCCCCTGTAATCAATAGCCTGGGAAACCATTTGCATTAATGAATGCATTCATGAAAGCTTTGAAAAATCCCAGTGTAACAAAACCAATTCAACTTCACACCCATTCGGAGGAATGGGAATTGGCTAGGGAGGTAACCAAGCAGATCTCAGTTTCAATGTTTACACCCATAGCTGATTGCATCTGCTGTCTGCCAGCTTTACATTTTCTGCTAAGGAAAAAAACCCAAGTATTTCAAAACACATGTTTTAAAACATCTCTCTGCCTAATGTGTCTCAGCAGCCAACTATACTCAGTGTTTACCTATAGCATGCAGTAACGACCTGAGGCCAATTGAGCGATACAAGTTACCATAACCCTCTTCCAGTAGTTTTACTGAAGTAAAGCTTCCTTCTTAAATACCAGTAGTTTGATACAAAAAGAAAAAGTATCTCCTCCACTCTTTC